GTAGTGTGGGGTGGGTGAGAGTGGGGTGGGGTTTGGGGGGCAACGTAGTGTTTATTGTTGCACCAGCCGGGCTAAAACAGAACGAAAAAAAACACTGGACAATTTTTTCCGGACAGGTGAACTGACCGCCGGCCGCACCGGCAATACAGAAGGACCACAACCAAAGACGGACCGCCAGTGTATAGACGGACCACCACTACTATAGAGGGTCCACCGCTATACTATTAGACGGACCACACCTGTTATAGAGGGTCCACCATCCACATAAAAAAACCACCAGTTGTAAAGGCATTCCTCACTCACCTCAGGAGTTACGGCTCTTGTCTTGGCAGAACCACCCGCAGCCGCCGCGGCCGCCGCCGCCGGCGTCGCCGCTGCCTCAGCCGCACCCTCCCCATCATCAACCGTAAACTCTTCCAGCACCGCCTCAGCAAAGAAGTCCGACGCAAGCCCTTCCCCCGGCGGCGCCGCAGGCGCTGCCTTCGCTTTCTCTTCCTTCTCCTCCTCCTCGCCATCGTCTTCGCCGGAGTCCTCTTCTTCCTCATCCCCTGATCCGCAAAAATCACCGCCGCCACCACCACGACCGTCGCCACTACCCCCGCCTCCCCGGTCATCACCCCCGCCGCTGCCGCCGCCGCCGCCGCCGCCCCTTCGGCGGCTCACACCCCCGCCGCGAGCATCACCGCGGCCATGCCCGTCACCGCCGTTGCTAGAAGCAGCAGCAGCAGACGTCGACGACGACGATCTCGCCGCCGCTCCCGTTCCGCCCGACAGGGTAGTCACAAAGAAGGCGCTATTGGAATCGGCCGCCGAAGTGGGCCCTCTTGCGGCTGTTGCTACGGAGGAGGAGGAGGCAGGCGATGGGGCGGCGGCGGCGCGAACCGGCAGCAGTTGCGCCGCATTATCGTCGCCGCCACGGCGGAGGGCCTCGACCTGTTCGGCGATGAGCTTCTTCTCCGCGCCGTCCTCGGCGGTGTAAAACCTCGCCCTCTGGGTCCTACCTCCCCCGGCGGCAACAGCAGCAGCAGAGCTATCCGCATCGCTGTCAGCGGTGCTCCCGTCGTAAGCGGCAACTACCGCGGCAGCGATACCTCCACCGCCCCCGCCCCCGCCGCCGCCGGCACAGGAGCCGACGCTCTCGGCGACCGAACGCCAGGAAGACCCCCGTTCGAGGCAGAAAAACTTGCTACTCCGCCCACCGCCGTTGGTGCCTTCCCTTGCCGTCGAGAACCCGTCCTCGTCGTCTACCCTCCCATCCCCACTAACCCTTCGACGACTGGATACTCCGGCTGAGTTTAAGCGGAACGCCGCCTTCCTCGGCGTGCCCCCCCCGCCCCCCCCGCCGCCGCTGGCCCAACCCGCGAGACTCCCCGACCCCGAGAGAGAATTCTTTCTCCGTGCCAGGCTCCTCGCAGACAGCTGCTGGACCGCCAGGCGCCCCGCGAGGGAGACCGGGCTGTTCTCAACGTCGAAGCCCTCCGCGCCCAGCACCTCCCTGGCGTCGAGGAGCTCGAGCTCCTCCCCCCCGACCCCGACGGGCGGCGGTCGTCGCTGCCGTTCTTGTCGCTGTCCCTGCCCGGCGTGCTCCAGCTGGTCCTCCTCCTCCTCCTCCTCCTCCTCCTCTTCCTCCTGCGCCTCTAGGGTGCTGCTAACCGCCTCCGCCGCCGCCGCCGCCGCCTTCTCCTCCTCCGTGTCCTCGGTAGCGTTGGCCCGCACGGTGCCTTTGGCCCCGGTGCTGACGGCTGCTTCTCCTCCTCTCTCCGGCGGAAAACAGCCTCCTCTGCGGTAGTCCTCGTGGGAGCCTTCCTCCGGAGCAGGGGGAGGGGGCGACGGCGAATCGTTGGATTCTGCGGACCCCCCTTCCTTCTCGGAGTCTTCTTGTTCGGGGGCCGGTCGCCGTTCCAGCGGCTGCCGCACATTCTGCAGTCGTTGCAGTCGTACCGGAGCAGCTCCCGCCGCAGCCGGCTCATCGGGGATGGTGATGATGGCGTCAGCGGAAGAAGAGAAAGAACAACGCGCTGCTGCTGCTGTTGCTGATCGGCTCTCCACTTGGTACGTAGAATCGCCGACGATGGTGGCGGCGGCGTCGTCGCTAGCAGCGGCAGCAGCAGCCGCAGCGGCAGCGCTGACAATTGATGGTCTCGCGTTGGCAGAGGCGAAGCTGCTGCTGCTACTGCTGCTGCTGCTGCCGTTGCTACTGCTGTCTTCTTCCCCCTCGCTATAGTCGTCGTCATCGTCAGACAGAGACGCCAAAACTCCGGCGGCGGCGGAGAACACCACGTCCTTCTCCCCTACTTCCTGTTGCTGCCGATGCGAATAAGGCGGTGCCACGAGCGCGTCTCGCCCTTCCTCCCCCGATGCACGCCCTTCCTCCACCTCCTCCTCCTCTTCCTCTGATGTCGATATTTCACGGTCCCCGCCGCTCCCGCTTTCTTCCTCGCTCCCGTCCTCCTCCTCCTCCCATTCTTCGGCCACTACGGTTCCCACGTTCCCCCGGCGGCCCACCTGCCGGTGATTCTCCCGAGGAAGCCTCCCGACCGCCGCCGCCGGTGGCCACGGCATCTCCACCGCCGCCGCCCCAGCCCCGCACCTCACGGCGTTGAGCGGCGTGCACAAAGGGGTCACGTCGACATCCGGGAGGGCGGTAGTGGCGGGTACCACCTGCGGGGCCTCAGTCCAGTCGATAGAATGCGGCCGTCTGTGATGCTGCTGCTGCTGCTGCTGCTGCTGCGGCCGGTGGTGGTGGTGGTGGTCGTCGTGGTGGTCGTGGTCGTCCTCGTCCTCTTCTCCTGGTGCGACGACCACGGCAAAGGCCGCGCCGTGCTTGCCCGAGCACTTCCAACCGGCCGCCATTGCCGCCGCAGCCGTAGGGCCATCGATCGCCGTCGGCATCCCCGACGATTCCACAGCGGGGAGGACACTGCTGTTGTTGCCGTTGTTACCAGATCCCCCCTCGTCGGCGAAACCGAGCAACCCGCTGCCGCCATCCGCCAGAGCGGACGAGGAAGAACGCCGCTGCAACTCCTTGGCCTTCTCGAGGGAGAGCGGGGGTGGGAGCCTCATCAGACCCGACGGCACCACTGTGAGGTCTTCCTCAACGCTAGCAGCAGCCCCAGCCGCAGCCGCAGCCGCAGCCGCGGGTTCGACGACAGCATCGGCTGCATCAGCCGCCCTCTCCGCCGCCGCGGGCACAACAATGCCGCCTCCCGGTCCTCCTGATCGGTTCCCGCGCCTGAGGTGGCGTCGAAGCATGGGCCCGATCCACGCTGCGCCGCCGCCAGTCGGGCTCCTCTTTCCATCGACCGCCGCTGCTGTCGGAGTGCTGCCGCCGCTGCAACCCGCAGCCGCCGCCGCCGCAGGCGGCGGCGGCGGAGGGACGAACGGGGCGGCGGTGGCGTCTGCGGCGAAGGCCAAACCGGGGGGCGGAGGGGTTAACACGGCATCGTCGGGGGGAGGAGGGACCATCGTTGCCTTGCGGCCAAGCGAGAACGTCGCCGGCCAGCCGACGGCTCCAGGCAGGAAGGCCTTCGGCAAGCGGGGACGGGAGCTGAACGCCTCGTTGAGACCGCCCGGCAAGCCCCCGCCGCCACCGCCGCCCCACCTCGCGTTGTTGTCGCTGTTGCTCCTGCTCCTCGGCCGCCGGTTGTTCCTGTTGCTGTTGTTGTTGCCATTGCTGCTGCTGCTGCTGGTGCGTGAGCTGCCTGCCGTTGCCGATCCACCGTGCTGCTGCTGCTGCTGCTGCTGCTGTTCCTCCTTCGCGACGGAAACTCCACCACCGCTCACGTCGCATGCCTCGGTAACGCCGTGCGACCGGCACTTGCGAAGCCGCCGCCCCCTCCTGTCCCCCCCGCTGCTGCTCACGGTGGCGTTGTTGCTGTTGCTGTTGCCCCAGCCCCCCCCTCCTGCCGAAGAGGAAGACAGCAGCGGGGTCGCTTGGACCGGGCCATCCTCCCCCGCTGGGCCGGTCGCCGAAGCCCGGGAAGCGGCGTCGTCGTCGCCGGCGGCGGCGGAGGCGGCACCTGCGGCGGCAGCGGCGGCGGTAACGGACGGAGAGATGAGGGGGAACGACCCCGACCCCGAGGAAAACAAGGCCCGCTTGCCGCGGCTAAGCATGCCGCCGAACGAACCCGACCGCGTCAACCGGTGCCGCTGCCGCCGGCCGCCCTGCTGGCCGCTGCCCGCCGGCGGCGGCGCCGAAGGCGAGGGAATCGCCCCGCCGCCGCCGCCGCCGCCGCCGAGTACGGATCCCGGGCGGGGCAGCAGCGGTACCCTGAGCGACAAGCCGGTACCGGTACTCCCCCCTCCGGCACCGGTGGCGCTTCTCAAACCACCACCGCCGCTGGGGGTAGGTGAGTTGTTGTAGTGCCTTCCGGGGACGGGAGGGCGGTCGGGGGTGGACTGCGCCGACCACCGAGAGGTGGATGGGCTGACGCTGAAGCTTGTGTTGGCGGCGGTGCTCGTGGTGCTGCTGCCTCCGGAGGAAGGGGCGAACCTTGGGAACCAACACACGCACAAACGAGGACAGAGAGATGAGAGAGAGAGAAGAGAAGCATGGATGAGGAACAGAGAGAAAAAAAAATGAGTAAGTAATGAAATAGTAATGAAAGAGCTCGTGATATACATGTGTGGACGTTGTCGAGCGAAGCTATGCATATGACGCGCTCTTTTATTGTTCTTCGCTCTGTTCATTGTCCTCGTATATTTGGGCTGGTTTTCTGTTTGTTCGTCTTATCGAGCTCTTTTCGCCCTGTAAATCTGCTCTTGCCGCTACATTGCACTTTCCACACTTTCCACACCGCTGTTTTTCTTGGTGTATTTCTTAGTGTAATCCAGCTTTCAGACGTGTTTTTCTTGGTATATTTCTTAGTGTAAATCCAGCTTTCAGACGAGTTTTTCTTGGTACATTTCTTAGTGTAAATCCAGCTTTCAGACGAGTTTTTCTTGGTACATTTCTTAGTGTAACCCAGCTTTCAGACGTGCAGGGTATTACAAAGCCGGCTCTCGCTCCGAAGAGCTAGCTGGAAGGGATAAGCAAAAGCGAGGGAGAAGAATAACAAAATAACTCGAGCTACCGTAGACTGCATACGTACGATACCACACCCTCCAGACCGATTTCCAAAGCTCGACTTCTCCACGACGAAGAGGATGCCGAAATCAAAGGGTATGTGTTCTGAAAGCTCTCGACGAGACGGTTCCAACGCCTCCCGCCATTTTCGACACCGTCACGGCTTTTCCCACCGATAATCGAGCTTCGAAAATCAGTCCAGGGGGTGTGACATCTTACGTCATGCAACCTACGGTACGCGTGTCAGACATCAAGCACAAAAGCGGGGGAGATGTTACCTACCAGGTTCGCACAATGTATGTTTTCACGGATAGCGCAAAGAGAACGAGAAAAAAGCAAGCAAAAAGAAAATTCTTCCTTAGAACGAGCAAGAAGACGGTTCTCCCTTGAAACGAGCAAGAAGAAGGTTCTTCCTTAAAACGATCAAGAAGAAGGTTCTTCCTTGAAACGAGCAAGAAGAAGGTTCTTCCTTGAAACGAGCAAGAAGACGGTTTTCCCTTAAAACGAGCAAGAAGAAGGTTCTTCCTTGAAACGAGCAAGAAGAAGGTTCTTCCTTAAAACGAGCAAGAAGACGGTTTTCCCTTAAAACGAGCAAGAAGAAGGTTCTTCCTTGAAACGAGCAAGAAGACGGTTCTCCCTTAGAACGAGCAAGAAGAAGGTTCTTCCTTAAAGCGAGCAAGACCTCATAAATCCTCACCGTTTGCTGCCCGCCACGCCTCGCGAGCTGGCGCGGCCAGCGATCCCTTTCTCCTCCAGCTCGGTGGCAGAGCTGACCGTCAAAATCTTGCCGCTCACCCCGCCGCCGCCGCCGCCGCCCCCCGCCCCCGCCCCCGCCCCCGTCGGAAGCGCCGGAGGCGTTCTTCCGACGTTGGACTCGGAGGGAGCCTTGCGACGGAGCCGTGGCGGCAACGCCGCCATTGCCGTGTCTACCCCGCCCGCTGCCGACGACAACGCCTCGACGGGTGCAAAGCCGGTCATGCCGGTGGCACCGGCGGCGGCACCGGCGGCGGCGGCACCAGCGGCGGCGGCACCAGCGGCGGCGCCATTGCTCCGTGTGCTGGTGGCCGCTCCCGCCGGAGAGGGGGGGACCAGGCCGGCCGGAGAGTCGAATCCTAAGGCGGAGGAGTTCGACGAGAGCACGAGGCGGTGCTGCTGCTGCTGTTGCTGTTGCTGCTGTTGCTGCTGTTGCCTCTTCCTCCCGCCGCTGCTGCCGCCGCTGCTGAGGCCGCTGGCGGCGCGTCCTCGGATGCCCGGGACGAAGCACAGGGGGGAAGGGCGGCGGGCGGCGGCGGCGGCCGCGGAGGGGCCGGGAGTTAAATCATCGAGAGCTGCTACTGCTGCTGCTGCTCCTCCTCCTGCTGCTGACGGCCCCACCTGGCCATCATAATCGTCACCGTCCACGGCAACCACAACACCTCCGCCGCTCTTGCCGCCGACCCCAGCTCCCTCACCCTCCTCCACCGGAACCCTACTACCGCTGCCGGGCAGCAGCGAGGACGCATCCCCTCCCAAGCCGACCGGGCTATCTCTAACACCACCACCCGCCCGGAACAGCTCCGCGGTGCTGTCCCCCACCAGACCTTCACCGCTGCCCGACGGCCCAACACCCACCACGGGGGCACGGCCGACACCGCCGGTCAATGATTTCCCGGTTCCCCCGGCTTGTTGTTGCCCCAGGGGTTCCGCAGAGTAATTATCGGCTGCCGCTGCTGCTGCTGCTGTCGCCCCCCCCCCTCCTGGCGGGGGCGGAGAGCGCGAACGGTGTTCGTTTCGGGAAGAAGAAGCCACCGAAGACACATCATCGTCGTCGTCCTCATTGTCCGAGAAGGCGCCTTCGGAGAAGCTATCGTTGCCTCGTTTCCTGCGGGTGGGGGTTACAAAAAACAAGACAAAATAAAGAGAAGAAAACGAGACAAAATACAGGTAAATTTATTATATATTGTTCCCTCGTTTCCTGTGTGTTTGGGTAAAAAAACGAGACAAAAAAAAGAGAGAAGAAAATAAGACAAAAATACAGGTACTGCTGTATCGTTCCCTCGTTTCCTGTGTGTTTGGGTCAAAACACAAGAAAAAAAAGGAGAAAATGGGACAAAAATACAGGTATTAACTGTGTCTTTAGGTAAAAAAACAAGGCAAAAAAAGAGAATAGTAAAATAAGACAGAAGTACAGGTAATAGCTTCCGCTGACGCTGTGAATTCATTGCTAATCTATCTTAGACTCTTTTCTGTAGATAGATGGAGATGGATCCGTTGTGTCATACAAACACACGACAAAAAAAAGGAGAAAATGAGACATAAATACAGGTACAGTATCAATAGGTACAGTATTAATAGTATAGCTTCCGATGACGCTGTGAACTTATTGCTAATCTATCCTAGGACTCTTTTCTGTAGATAGAGATGGTTTCGTCGCGTCATTGGGCTAACAAAAAAGTAAGAGAACAGAAACAAGGATGAGAAACGACGCCGCAATACCTACCCGCCGCCAAGTAAATGAAGCAGAGCCCCTCGACCACTTTTACGAGCCTCTGGCGTAGGCAACCAAAGATATAAACACCACCTGGACTGATTTTCAAAGCTCGATTACCGTATGACTTAAGATAACGCACCCCCTGGACTGATTTTCAAAGCTCGATTACTTCACGACGAAGGGGATGCCCAAACGAAACGACACATTTTCAGAGAGCTCTCGACCAGATGGCTTCAACACCGCCGTTTTCGGTGCTGCGACTGTTGCTGCTGTTGAAAAATCGAGATTTGAAAATCGGTCCAGGGGGGGTGTTATCTCGTGTCATATACGGTACTTCACGACGAAGAGCATGCGTAGTCCGAACGATGCAATTTTGACGCCCCCACCACTCTGGGTTGCTGTGGGTCTATGAAAATTTCTCCAGTGGGTGTGAAAACTTTAAGCCACCTACGGGTTTTGAATAATTTTGCTTGAGGCTCGTTTCTCACAAAACGTTCGTGGGATATCGCAACGGCGAATGTATAGGTTACATAGTGTTGGACTGATTCTTGACGGATCACCAGATCCCACGCTTAGATTTTTTACGGTTCTCTTGATGGATCTCACCAGATCATATGCACACGCTGGGATCCTTTTCTGTTTTTTCTCTCTTTTTGAGGCTGTGGTAGTTTTTTAGAACAAATATAGACAGATAGATCACAGAACGACAACAATATCCGTTCGAGATATAACCGCAGTCGCAAGGGATGCGCTGAAGTATTTTCAGTGAATGTCGGGAGACCCGGCTGGAAACTGGTCTAATTTTGAGTCTGTTTAAACCCCCATATACAGCATACACCAAATTGCAACAGCGACACCAGCTGGTGCTGAGAACTAAAACATCTGTACATGTTGATGCATCTTACAGCAGTTATACGCCTTCTTTTGGTGACTCCTTCCCCATCTGCGGGATTTTACGCGCTTTAATTGGTCGAGCATAGCTTCGGGCGGTCGATTCCTCTCCAGCGCCCTCTCCCTATTCCGCATTCCGACCACCCGGCGCAGCTGCGTTCTCGCCCATTTCACGGCCGCTTAGGCCGTGCGTGAGGGTTTAGAAAAAATAGAGAGAAGCATTACACCGTTTTTGGGCTCTGCTGGTGACTGTCTTCCCATCTACGAGATGTTACGCACTCCGATCGCTCCGATTGGTCGAGCGTTGGTTCGGGCAATCGGTTCTCACCCAGTTCTCGGCCGCGTAGTTAGGCCGTGCGTGAGGGTTTAGAGATAGGGTTCAGGTTACGGTTGGGTTGGGTCGACCACGGTGAGGAACCAAGGTTCACGTCCGGTCAGACCTAACGAATCATAAGCAGACCGTCGTGAATACACCTCCGCGGAGCCGTCTGTATATACACTTGGCAGTTAAGGAGACGGGACGGAAGCCAGCGAGAGGCATGCATGCGCCAAAAGTACCGTAGGGTTGCGTAAGATACCATACCCCCCTGGGCGGAATTTTTTCAAGCCTCTATTGTTCCACGATAACGAAATCAAATGACAACACTCGCTCTCGACGAGACAGAGTTCCGATGCCGAAGATACCGTAGGCTCGCGTAACATACCACACCCCCTGGACCGAATTTCAAACCTCTACGCATAGAGCCCGTACTCTCTAAGAACCTCTGAATAGTTTCGGCCAAGGGTGGGGTTCTTACCGTATATCTAGGGTCATGCTACGAATGGTCGCTATATAAGTACTAGTGTAGGGGTTCTTAACCGAGCTCACAGATGATGCTCAAGTTCTTAAAATTTTGATATTTTTAGGCTCGATTTCTTAACGCTTGACTTCTTACAGCGGTGGCGGCGCGTTCTGTAGTCGAGCTTTGAAATTCGGTCCGGGGTGGTTATGTAGCCTGTGACCACGTAAGAACCTCTAAATAGTTTAGGTCGAGGGTGGGGGTTGTTGCCGTATTTCTAGGGTCATGCTACGAACGGTCGCTATATAGGCTTTGGTGTAGGGGCTCTCAACCGAGCCCACAAATGGTTTTGGGAAGAGTGATCATTGTTCAGCACTAACTTCCTGTGACTGCCTGGCTCCCAAGTGCGGGTGCTGTCTGTGTAACGCAAGGTTGCGAGTCAGCGCACAGGGGTGCGATCGATTTTCAAAGCGCAATTTCTCCACAACCTGGAGGGTGCGAACGCCAACTGATACTTCTCAGGAAAGCTCTCGATGAGATGTTTCCAAAACCGCCGTTTTCGACAGTGGTACATAGTAACTGGTTGTGGATAAACTACGCTTTGAAAATCGCTCGCACCCCTGTGCGCTGACTCGCAACCTCACGGCATTGTTCAACGACGCAGAGGATGGCGAGATCAAACGATGTATCATGCCTGTTCGTGCATCTCAAGTACGCTCCATCTACTGCTGTACTGTAGTACGTCTTCTGAAAG